ACACTTTTGTATTAAATGAGGAGATCTTTAAATTGATCTTTGGAACTCAAAAAATGGATGTGTGGATTGAAAGTTATGGCCTTTCAAAGATGGTACCAAAATTAGGGTTTCCTCCCACACTTAGAAAAAACTCAAGTTACCCAAGTTTTCTTTGTTTGCAAGAAATCTCTCAAATGTGAGGGAAAAGTTCCTCGTACTTAGCTATACTTATTTAATGATGTCAAAACATGCATAGGTAGAAAAATGTACTTTGGACGGTATCATCAAGTCGCATATGCATACCTTATTTCTCTTGCGTCAAACAATGGTCAAAAACATGTTTATGTACATATAGAAAATGTACAATATATGTTCTATATAGGTTGGATCATGTTGGTCAAGTTATAGATATGTTAGGGTCTCTTAAAAATATCTAAATATATGAAGAAAAAAAATGCATTCTTACATGTTCTGAGTCTTTGAGTTGACTCACATCCTGTTTAGGTCGACTCATACAGAAGTCATTTTTTCATGTATTGCTCTCAAGAGTGCTCATGTCGACCCTCTGGTCGACTCATGCTGTGTGCATTTGTGATTGTCTAAATATGTGTCATGTGTGTCGATGCATGACATGTTTCAGTTGACGCAAAGTGTTGTTTTCTGCATAGTCTGAAATTGGGAGAGCTGAGGTCGACCTCCCCTTGCTGTAGGTCGACCGCTCGCGTGTTTTTCACCAAAATTCGGTTATGTGAAACTTTCAAAGTGTTTGTTAAGTTAGTTAACTATTTTCACATTTGCATATATATTAAGTTAGTTCATTCTTTGCAAAAAAAAAAACAAGTGAAAATATACATTGATTTGGTTCTCATCATCTTCATCCTCTTTCTTGCATTTTATCAACAACTACACATAATCATTTTTGTTATGTATTCTGCATCATCGAGGTGATAACGTCCAAATGTAGGATTGGTGTAATCAGGTTTGGGTTGAGAAATCAGTGGGTTTTTCTTGAATAAAATCGTGAGGGTTTTGTCCTCCAAGAATCTTAGATTTTGGGGGGTTTTGTACAAATCGGTCCTTCACAAATTCAGCCGAGCGAAGGTAATTGAAGAATGGGAGGTTTTGTCAGTTTAGTAGCGGTAACCATAGGATTGTGATAGGAAGATTTGGGTTTGAATCATTGGTGTTTGAAATCAGCTGAGCAAGATTTGAAGAATAGAAGGTTGTTCAAAGGCATTGTCGTAACCGGAGGTTTACTCATCACGTTCGAAGGACTTGATTCAGCTTGAATCAAGGGAAGATAAGGCATAGGATTTGCATCTATAATTGGGTTTGATTGTTTGAATTCTATTACTTCTCTTGTAAACATTTACAAATAGGTTATATATATATATATATATATATATATATATATATATATATATATATATATATATATATATATATATATATATATATATATATATATATATATATATATATATATATATATATATATATATATATATATATATATATATATATATATATATATATATATATATATATATATATATATATATATATATATATATATATATATATATATATATATATATATATATATATATATATATATATATATATATATATATATATATATATATATATATATATATATATATATATATATATATATAGGACTCAATTCTATTTTTAAAATTGAGAGAAGACGTACCCCGAGCGAGGACGACGGAGGAACTGCCTCAACAAATTGGTGTTCTCTCTTTACTTTTTCGATTGCTGAATTTTGAATTTGTGTGCAAACAATTTAGTTGATTAAAATTCTGGTGTGTGTAGTGCTGAACCATTTTTAGAAACCTTGTTACAATCCTTGATTGTAATTGAACACTATATCACTTCATTCACATATTGAAATTCACTTGAGGTGCCTCACACACCAAGTGTTCGACTAATTGCGTGAACACAAACACTTGTGTTGCCTTTTCAATTGGGTTATATTTCACACGCATTGGAAATTGTCCAACCTTAAAGTGAACAAAATCTAGTTGATGTGTGTTCAAATTAGTGATTCTAAACCTCTTCTTTATCGGATTCCATAGGCTTTGCTTATATCCGATCTTTTTGGTAAAGGTTCGTTTAGACGAATATAGTTCATCGGCCGCTTCCGCTTAAAACTTTTTAAAACCAAATATTGATAACCGTCGACTCTATTTTTAATAAGTGATCTATTCATCCCCCTTCTAGATCTGTGTCGTTGTCTAACATCAAATCTTGATTTCTTCATGATCAAACTCATTGATTAAACATATCTTGATGAAATTTGGCTTGGAAGCTTCAATTTGAACCAAAAATCCCAAAAGTCAAAGAGTTGACTTTATCAGATGAATTTTGTATCGGGTGAATTCAGCTGTGTGATCTTCAATGAATTTGCATAATTGGATTTCTCAAACATCCTAGATAGGCTCCAAGATGTATATTAACATTTTGAATCATGTCCCAAGGCTTGGGGTCATGCTTGGATCAAAAGTCAAAGGCACAGTTGGCTTTTCCTAACAAAACCCTAATTTGGGGCCAGATGAAATTGGACTTCAATTAACTTGCAATGAGATTAATTAGCACTTGATTCTTGTTGAATATGAGCTCCTTGAATGTATGGAAACTTGATTTGATAATGATCAGTCCAAAATATTGACTGATCAAGCAACAGTCCTCTTGGTTACTAAGGTGCAAAACCCTAATTCAGATGGATCTCAACAACAAAAACTTGAAACAAGGTTAGGGTTAGGAAACAATGCTTGATGCTCCTAGAATGGTAATGGAATCTAGGGGTCAAAATTTGGGGTATGAAAATGATGATTTTATCTATAGATTCCTTTTTCAAGGTACTCATATTAAGGGCATTCATGAGGTGACATCAAAGTCTACATGGTCATATTACTTATAAAACAAGAAATATTGTTGAAGATATCATGAATATTAAGCACTATTAAAGTATGAATGTTGACTCAATGTATCGTAAAAATAAATATCATAATGCATTCTATTAAAGGGAATATGCATTAGGATATTTTGAACTCAAATGTCAAGATTGGCAAGCATTTTTTAGTGATTATATCAAACTTATATGGGTTATATCCTCCTTTGACCAATACTACATGGGTTGACATAATAGGTCTATCCCTTTTTATATCATTTAATTATTTTAAGTTTTCTTAATGATTTTGCTTTGATTTTATTTCTCATTTTCAATTCTCATTATTGGTTTTCATTTTCTTTTTCAATCTTGGTCCATGAAGTTCATAGCATAATGGCAAGTAAGCCCATTCTTAAAGCTGAAACCACTTTCTATATTTCAATCACATAATGCGCCTATTTAATTGTCAACATTATTGATGTGAGTATAGTCACAAGAAGTGGATGTGTATTTGCGACAACACCTCCGAAGAGAGCTGAAATGCCAGTTGAGAGACCAATCATGAATGATGAACCAAACTTTGTTGTGGGACAGTCCAGTGAGGCTGGTCTCAATTCCAACTTTGATGAAGTCCTAAAGTTGATCAAGAAAAGTGAATACAAGATTGTCAACCAGATTTTGCAGACTCCGTCTAAGATATTTATGTTGTCACTATTGATAAACTCTAAAGCTCACAAAGTAGCTTTATAGAAAGTCCTTAAACAGGCATACATTGATTATGATGTGACCATTGATCAATTTGGTGGGATCGTGGGTGATATAACTGCATGCAAGAATATGGGTTTTAGTGAAGAATAACTCCCAGAAGAAGGCAGAAATCATAATTTGGTGTTGCACATTTCAATGAACTGCATGAATGATGCTTTATCCAGTGTGCTCGTTGACATTGGATCATCTTTGAATGTCATACCTAAGACTACACTGTCTAGATTGTCGTACCAAGGTATCCCATGAGGTGTTCATGAAGTAGAGGATAGATTCCTTTAGGGAAAATACTTCTTGACGAGGGTAAGGGCTAGTGATGTTGAAACCAAAGATCAAAGCAAAATTAACTGCATATACTTTCATACAATGATATAAGCTATATTTATAAAATATGGACAACGGATCCATTAACTAAGCAAAAATACATAAGTTTCATAGGTAATGGAAAATGTGATTTTATACATAGCCCAATATCTCATGTTTCTAATTTATCATGAAAAAATGGTTGTAAATGGATGTAATTTCTTTGCGGTTGTTTGTTTTCAGTGAGAATTAGAGAAGCTCCATGTTAGATCTAAGTGATATGAGTTTGAAGAGGTTTTGGTGTGGGCGTAGCCGCTACCGCCGCCGCCGTGAGGCCTGTCGGTGCAGCAACATGAGATGAGTCACGACGTGAATTTGGAGAGAAGAAAGAGGAATAACACGTGATGAAGCAAGCCATGTTTATCCCTAAGAGCGCGATTTAAACACTCATTCATTAAAAGCACAAACCAACAAACCGTAGTCATCCGAACTACGGAGCTCTAACTTCCTCATTGCACCAAGATACATAGGCACAAAATTGCGAGATCTTGGCGAGCTACCTTTTTCTTTTCTACCTTTTTCTTTTTCCCCGTAGTCTTCCGAACTAAGGATGCTCTTATTCCTCATTTCACAATGAGGATACATAGGCACAAGGGCCTCAATCCTTGGTGAGCACACTAATAAATAACCTCTCATTTTCCCCTTTGGTTGTTTCCTTTATTTTCTCTTTTTAATCTTTTTCCACTTGAAGAAAGAAAATAAACATTAGCTAAACATTCAATCGCAAATATAACTAAGAGGTTCCCGTTGAGTACAACGGACTTGAGAGATGCTAGTAGCTTCCCCTTGTGTAATCGACTCCCGAATCTGTATATGGTTGCGACGACCATTTTCTTCTTTTGAAGGTTTTATTGATATTTTCCTATTCCTTAATTAGGATAAATAAAGTTCGGTGGCGACTCTGTTCGAACATTTTTTTCACTTCCATCACGAAGGATTATATTTTTCGAGGTACGACAGGAGAAAATACATTGGTATGGTGAAAACTAATAATGGAGTGGTCGAATCTGTTGAGGATGTTAAGGAGACAGTCCGAAGTTTTTACAATGATAAGTATGTTAAACCTGAGTCGAAAAGACCTTTGTTGGAAGGTTGTTCCTTTAATTCCCTGTCTGAAGCTGATGTAGATTACTTGGAGGCCCTTTATTCAAAATTCGAAATCAAAGCAGCGGTTTGGTCTTGCGATGGAACAAAAAAACTGGGTTCGGATGGTTTCAATTTTGTGTTCATCAAGAAATGTTGGATTATCTTGAAGGAGGATATCATATGGTTCGTGAAATACTTTCATCCTCATGCATATCTCCATAAAGCTGTTACATCTTCATTTCTTACACTCATTCCTAAGGTAACTCATCCTTCTAAACTTGGAGAATATAGGCCCATTTGTTTAGTAGGAAGTTTGTATAAAATTATGGCAAACTATAAAATGAGATCACATGAACTTTATATGTATCCAGGATCGAGGAGGTTTATTTCAAGAAATTGAGACCAGTTCCATGGCTGAAGACCAGGATCGAGGGGAAATTTGTTTCAAGAAACTGAGACCAGTTTCGTGGCTGAAGACCAGGATCGAGGGGAAGTTTTACCCTTTTCTAAGTAAGATTACTTAG